TGGAATATTGAAAAAAATAGGAAATGTTAACTTCGGCTGCAATGAAACCATAATACCATTTACAGATGCATTTCTTATAGCATAAAATTGTGTGTTTCAGCCTTAAATGAGAACCTTTTTTACGAATTTCCTGGTGCATCGACATTCATTTCAAAGGCATAATCACTTCTCGATTTAGATATTTTTTAGGTCTACTATGCTCTACGTGCTTTCAACGTACTGCCGACAATAATATTCTGATTACAACAACCATCCAGTACCCACCATATGGTTTGTAGGGACACCAGGCACTTTGGTTATACTTGTGGCAAGTTCTGATTAACCATAGCAAACAAGAAGCAAAACAAGCAAAGTCATATTTATTATAAATTTGTGTAACTGACGTCTCGCACTTATCTGTAGTTTCGCATCTTGGTATCTTAATGCGGATGCGTATGTAGTTATACGCGTGCACATGTCCCGGAATATGGATCCTATTGCCGTGCATTAATATCCCCCAATGCCTGGCGTTCAAATTAATTTTGTTTCTTTTATTATTTTTATAAATATCCATACGGCAACTTCGCACTATTGTTGTTATTCTTGCTGCTGCCCTGCAACATTCTAATCGGCTTTAGTTGGTCTTGCACAATTTATTTTATTTATTTCCATACTCCTAATGCGGCATAAATAATTTATGCATATAAATAACGCACGATAGCTGATACCCGCTTGACTGTCTGGCAGCTCGAAGATGCAGCAGCAGCGGCCGGAGCAGCGGCTGTGAGCATTAGCAGCAATTGGCCGAAGTCATAAAGCAAAACCAGACCGCATGTATACCGTGCTCGCCGTGGTCATTGTGGCAAATACTAGAGACACTCTCCGGTGTACCACCAGTGGTTGATTGTCGGCGTTGTTTTGCCGTTCACCTTTCTCACTGCGATCATTTGTGTGCGACCCCTGTTTAAAATCTTTTTATATCCTTCTTTAAATAAGTAGGTACATACATATGTATGTGACATATTGAATAATAATTTTACTTATTTATTTTCCACTATTCTTTTTGTTCAAGATTCGCATTTCTCTTCTGCCTACCAACACGATTATGAGTTATCTCTTTACTTTGCTGCCAACTTCCCGTCATCTGTCTCATATTGTTCTATTATTTTTCGGAATGTGGCGAATTAAAATACCTAAGTCTGTATTCTTAAAGATGAACTCTTATGAAGATCATGCTGACTTATCAACCACATTGGACTTAAAAATTATAGATAAATGATTGGCAGGAAAGAATTAGTGATGAACATTAAATACAAGAGCCTTTTGGAAAATAGTCTGACATTTTTATACTCTTCCAACATGTTGCTACAGAGTATAATAGTTTTGTTCACGGTTCAACGGTTGTTTGTATCAACTAAAACTTTTCAAAATAAATACAGAGTTATATATACTACAAGTATATGTATAGATTATTAGGATGACAAAAATAACTGAAATTGGATAACGATTTTTCAAGTTCTCAGTTAATGAATATGTGTACATCAGTACCTTTGGCTGTCTTCTTACCGAAAATATCGGTCTATCTGTGAGGTAGTTTATTGAAAGTCGAGAGCATAAATGTCGTGATGCCAAATATGGATAACAACGGTTTAATACCTCCCCTAGCCTACCTAATAGAAAGATTTTCGAACTTCCTATTGACTTCAAAGGCATACATACTGGTCAATATGTAAAATATCTTAAAAAAATTAATAAAGTTTCTCACTCTTATCACATGCCTTTGTGCGTAAAAAGGATCGAAGCGTGGTTATAATAACCCTAGTCTCCATATACGTACCTAAATTGGTATTGGTGAAATAATTTCATAGAAAGAAAAATCCTCCAATCCGTTGTCTTAATTATTAGTGATCTTCTTCGACCCAATAAATCTTTTTGAGACTAAATTTAAATTTGGAAGACAAAACTACTGAACCTTTATTTTACATTATTTTCTCTTCATTCATTCTATTTAATTAATATTTGAGGCGAGGACAGGTTTGATAAATAGTATAATTTAACAAAATCTAATAGAATAGAACACGTCCATCGCTTCTATGAGAGTTATCAATTATGTCACAAACAATTTTTCTAAATTAAATTTTTTCTCGAAGGAAAGCTTCGAATGTCATCCATCACCTATCTATATGCTCATCTGTATTAATGTGAAGCACAACAAACTTTATTTAAAAATGTAAACTTTCCTCTATTTATAGCTATAAATTTCACCCTGTTTACATTACAATCTCTCCCGACAAACTTTAATGGGCTTTCATTAAATTACCGTAAACGTATCTAATCACAAAGCAAATACTACTTTTCGCGCTAGACACCTTCGTCTCCGGTACAAAGATAATTTTTGCATACAAATCTCCACATTAGCGACTCTCTGCGCAAGCCAATGCAGTTTTCAGGCATTTTTATTATTTACATTCCATAATTTAGTCAATTTATACTATTTGGTTAGTGCGTTTTTTAACAAATCATCCGTTGCGGTACGGCGCAGCGCGGCCCGACGAGTCAGCCGCTGCTGGCATAGCAATTCACAGGCATTACGAAATGTATTTTATAACCGTCAACAAACAGTTATAAAATTATTCACTTTATTCATCATCTTTTATACAATTTAATGGTGAATTTTTCTCTTCTTAATTTTCATAAAATATATGCAATAACAAGAAGAAGAAGATGAAGGTGAAGAAGAAGCAGCAGCAGCCGGCGGGCGAATGAATAACATATGAAATAATTTCAAGTGTCAAGCTTTGCTGGGAAACAAGCGAAGATACCAATGCAACAACACTAATATGCGTATATGAATTTCAGCGATGAGTTGTGACCAAAGCAAAAACAAAAGCAAAAGCAGGAAAGCGTTTAGACGGCAAAAGCTGTGAGCTGTTGAGTGCGAACAAAGTTTCGATGAGTGCAAGGAGAATTGCCTGCCACAGCATCGGCCCGTACTAGTAAGTGGCATTAGCGAGCAACGAACTGTCGCCTGACCGTCGGTGGACTACGGAGAGGTGTGGTGCCGGATCAACAGTACGCTGCTCTTTTGATGCTGATTTGAACTGCACAAACTTAGTTGCTACTGTTTATGCTACTGTTGTTGTTGTTGTTTTTACAACAATTTGTTGTTGTTTTTGTAGTTATTATTGTTGTTGCTTTTGATTAGTCGAAGTTTGCCATAGCGTTAATGAGCGTAATGAATTTTGCCGTTTTGGGTTAAGTGGATTGTTGACTTCCTTCCGCCTTGACAGACAAATTCAGTGATTTCGTCTTCCCCTAAATGCGATTGTACACGCCACTGCTATACAAATACAACAATAATCGATGTGTTTAAGCTCTCGTCGAAGTTTATAATTGTGGTAATCGCTGCAAATTGTTGGAAGTCACCAACTTATTGAATATTATGCATATTGTTTAGAGAGACCCAAATGAAATAATTTTAACAAGTTACGTAATTCAAATTTTAATGGATATCTTACTTCTGTCGTTGCACCGCCTCATACGAATCTTTGATTTAAGGTTAGGAACGGCTCTTTTAAGGCGGTTTTTTCAGAAAAATTTCTTTGATAGAGCTTTCGTAAACTCGTATTTTATTTCAGCTTTCTGAATAAACTGAAGAGGCCGCTGTACTTGGTTGCTGTGAAAAACCAATGCCAATTTCCATCGTTTGGATCAGATCTTTCTGATTTTTCGTTCATGCATCGTTTCAAAAATATTTGCGTACATGGAAAACACTCCTTCTTTTTTCTTGTTTCCACTCACATTACGATATCTTGTGAATTGCCATTTATAAAAATTAAACTAATGTAAGAGAAACGTTTACAAATTGTATATTTGTATAAAAATCTTTGGGGTTCATATATCACTTGAAGAATCGCAGAGGAATTGTGAGGTGTTTGCTCTGAAGTGTGATTGGTTGTTATGTGAGAGCAGCACGCTTCCTAATCAGTCACTACTCTGAGGGTTTCGGGGTACGGATTTCCGATGAGCGAGAGCAGCCTTCTGTTCTCACGACAGTCGGGTCTACATTACGGAACAGAAGAGGATTTTTTTCCGGCCAAACACTCTCAACTCACCAGCAATTCTCAAACTTGTTTGAAGAAGGGTTTCAACCGCCACAATAGCAAGAGTGAAAAGCTTTAGTATTCGGCCCTTTACTTAGTTTGGAACCAACCAAGTGAAAGAAACCAGATTGCGCCATCGTGACGTAATAAACTTAAGAATGTAAATATATTTTCTTTGTTGCGTTTTCTCATAACTATAATTTATTACGTCACCGCTTGTTTTCTTACAGCCTTAACTCAACAAAGTAACGGTAAATACTTGGTGTAATCTCTACTTTATCGTTCTTGCTCGGAACTGTCAAGAGTCAAGTGTGTGCTCTTTCAATAATTCTGTTGCAGTGAATTAACGCTCACAAGCTCTCTCAAAACTATTTTTTTCGTTTTCAATAAATATAAAGAGAGAAAGAGAGTAAATTATATGTACAAGTATATCTCTGCTTAAATTAAAATTCACTTTGGACTAGTTAATGCAGATTATATATATTTTCCTGGCTCAAGTTTCAATATCCCAATTCTTTACCCAACTCCAATTTTATAACGGATTTTAGAAGATTTGAAGTTTGTGCAATGCCATGTTTTCCCTTCGAGGTGAGGTCCACTAACAATTCTAACAACATAATATACAGTGTGAACAAATGATTTAATAATTATTATTAATCGCTTGAAATTTTTATTCTTTTATTCTTTATAAAGAATGGGATTGAAGTAAGCTCCACGAGAGAGAAGTAAATAATGAATCAAAAAGCTTTAGCCTTAAATATAAAAATGCACGCAGGGGCTTAAGCGGCTCAAATGTGCCACAAAATGCATTAACATTGCCGCGACAATGGCGAAGCTGCGATCATTGCCAACAGAGCCATTGATCCGGTGTCCCTACCTGGGTTCTACGTCTAGTCTCCAGCTGCCGATGTGTCATTTGCTGGCATTTGTTTGAATTACAAACAAAAAAAAATAAAAAAAAAATATAAAAATATACAAGAAATATAAAATTAAACAAAAATAAAATTAAATGTGTAAAAGAAAAATAAAATGATTGAAGTAGAGGAAGGGCTTAAGAATACAAAGCAAATGCAGCCAGAACGAAGATTTGGAGACAGACTCAAATATTGACAGATGAAGTGTATGCTTTGTGTTTGCGCTGCTTCGCCGACGGACTTAAATACATACACATGTATGTATATTTTCCTTGCTGGTTTGTATGTATGTATGAGTGTGTGCGTGTGTGTGCATAGGCTCTTAGTTGCATTCATTCAATATTCAATTTCGTTTGCCGAAGAGCGAGAATCAATTTCATTTTTTATAAGCAGATAAAAAGAAGATAAGTGTCAGTCAGTCAGTTAGACAAGAAGTGAAGCGACGCTGTACGCGCGCACACTCAGCGGCGTGTTGCTGCGCGCTGGGCTGCTGCGCCGACAATACCCTTACTTAGCAGCATCCCATGCATCCACGAGCGCTGCGCGCGCAGCCACAGACACACTCATCAGACTTTGCAATCGAAATGTTCCTCAGTTTGCCGTCGCTTAACCTGCGCTTTTGTTTTGCGCTGTCCGCTTGGCTTCATGATTAATTGCACTTTTATGTGAGTGTTATTTTTTTAAGTATTTATAATAATTTTTAATATTTTTTTCTCACCCCTCCTCTGCTCTTTTGCTGGCTTGCCATACAATTAAGTTTATATAAGTATTTATATGGATGTGTGTGTGTGTGTCTGCTGTTGCACTGCGTTGCTTGTGCGCGTCATTAGATGTTTTTGTTGCTCATTGTTGTAGTTGATTTTTGTCGGTATTGTTTGGCTTGCAGTTCGTTGAACCGCTGCTGCGATCTTTTTTCTCGACACGTTGCGATCAATTATGTATTTAAAAAAATAAAATAAACGAACTAAAATAAATATTTTAAAAGCCATGCGGAAACCGATAAAAAGAATACTCACATAAATATGCGTTTGTATCGTATAATATATACATATATAAATAAACTTATATGGATGGTGGGAATAAGTCCTTTGGTCGGCTTATATAGTATTAAAACTTTTATAGCTATTGTACTACATATGTATGTTTGTTTATTTATATATAATTTTTCTTAAAAACGGCTGAAGTGATTTCACCTATATTCGAAACGTAAGTACATATGTACATATATTAAAAATAGTTATACATATTACTTACATATGTAGGTATATTTATAAAAAACAAGAAAACCCGTACAATTACTTGGTTTTGATCGATTAGTTTGTATGGCAGCTATTGTATATCCTATAGTGATCCGATATCGACGGTTACAACAAATGAGCTGCTTCTTGAGGAAAAAAAAACGTTTGCAAAATTTCAAATCAGTATCTTAAAAGATCAGGGACTATTTCGCGTATATACAGACAGATGGGCCAAATCAGCATGACTCATACCCAAAACACTGACCAAAATAGGTTAAGTCGATCCATAAGAGATATTGAGACTGTTGCCAACACGATAGTTTTGAAGCACTGTTTCTTCAACTCTTTCGATCTTATCATCATAAATAGAGGGCGGGACTTGATGGACGACTCGCTTGAGGCAAGCTTTCGATGATCTCGCGACCTTTTCTGAATGCATTGTGCCTTTAAAATCCTTGTGTTGGTAATAAAGTAGACTCTCCAAAATCTTTTTGCAACATTTTCAACGATTCCGTAGCCGTGATCCCAATGGAAATATATTTATGTTTCACTCTTATATGCTATATAATAGTTTTCCAAAATTACTCAGATTAGAGGCTTCAATATTTTGTAAGAGTAATACCAACTAAGAATAGTAAAAAAACTCTTTTTCTTCCCCTTGTACCGCTCTAATAAGCTAATAGTATGTGTGATATGGCTGCATACAAAAGGAAGTTCGACTTATGAGTGCCACAATAGTTAGTGTAATGCATCAAAATTTCATATTTTCCCCCTCGTAGTCGCTGCCAAAACGGAACACAATCGATTTGTTCTTGAAGCGGATGGTTGCTGGTGATCAAAAATGGGTCATTTACGACAAAGCCAAGCGAAAACTGTCGTGATCGAATAGCGGATGTTAAGTATGCAAACGATGGTCAAGCCACGATTGATGGTCAGGAAGGTTTTGCTATGTGATAATTGGGATCGGCAGGAAACCATCTACTATAAGCTGCGCCGCAATGACAAAACTCATAATTCGGACCAGTATTGACCACAATTAGACCGTCTGGAGGAAGTAATCGCTCAGAAGCGGCCAGCTTTGGCCAATAAGAGAGATGTTGTGTTCCATCGAGACAGCTCGAAGCCATAAACATCGATAGTAATGCGCCAGAAGCTTAGTTGGGAGGTTGTTATGCACTCTCCTTATAGTACGCTCCGTAATTCGCACCAAGAGAAATGTGTCAAACTCTACTGCCCCAATATAGACGGTTTTCCAAATAAGCTTGATGAGAATTACAAAGTACATACAATATGGCTGACAGCACACGTCAAGTGAAGCGCTGATTGCAACAATAAGAAAGTTGATTGCAACATCAAGTTAGCAGCGAGAAAAAATTCCAATAAAATTGTATAAATTGATTGTTGATGGAATAAGAATGACATTATATATATATACCTATTTTAATCTATAGTTTATTCACTGCCGATTAAGTGAACTTCCAGTTAATGTGCCACTTTGAGAATTCATTTTAATGAACGAGTGAATGAGCAGTGTGCGGAGATACAAGGTGATGTAGCGGAAAACTCTGTAGGAAAAAACACAGCTGAAATTGATCCGCAATCAGTTTTGAGAATGTAATACTGTGGATTCATTTTTGCTCTCTTCTAGCACTTCTTCCGAGCCATAGGGTTCTGTTAACGCTAACTATTAAGCTAAGCTATCCTCGACTGTCTTAACATTTGAGAGTGCAGATCGAACAAACAACTGACATAAGGTCAATAAACTAGAATAGAATATCGAAATAGTAGAAATTGGTTATACGTATTATAGATACGTATTCACTACGTAACTTGTTCTTTTCATTTGAAATTTTTTTATGAAAGAAAGCAGGGCCCGAAAGAGTGAAGCGAATATGCTTTCTCTGGGCTGTTATGATCTAGTAAGTTTTTCCTGCAGGGTACACACTTTAATGCAAGGTGCTTGAGAGTATACTTATATGAGTTGGCGGCATATTAACACGATCACAAGATCTTGATGCCTCGAGCAGTAATACCGCTGTGGTGGCTAAAACGCAATGCCGATTAGTGTCACATTTGTGACGTCCACTGAAGCGACACGACGTGAGTAACGATTTGCGAGTAAAAAATTAATTTCAGCGCTGCTCATATGCGCGCCGTTGACGTGGCGTGTGGACATAGTGAACACGCGAGAATAAAAATCAGAATAAAGCGTGACTTTCAGTGAGCGATCGCTTAAATTATTATACTGAAATTTGAATTAATCACTTGGACGTCGAGTCCACAATCAATGTGTAGGTGGTTGTGATTGAGGGAAAACCAGTAAGCAGTTAAACAAGTGGAGCTAAACATGAATTTGTTTAGTGAATGAAATTACTTAATAGACTCACCCGCTCTTCCTCGCGTATCATTTCCGCAATTCCAGGTTTTATTTCTAGATCATCGGCCAATGAGGAAGTGTGATGATGTGGAGCATGCGTCGGCGGTGGGGCACTACCGTGTGGCATGCCCATTGCACCTAAATCCATTTGTGCCGCTACAGCGGCCGCCATCGCAGCCGCTTGAGAGCCCAGTGCAAAACGCGAGTCACTAGCGCCACCACCCTGCTCTGACCGACCGCTCACACCACTACTACCCACGGGTGTAGCTGTGAGCTGGCCACTGATCAAGCTGGACGGGTGTGTAGGCGTCGCCGCTGATGAGGCCGGCGATGCGCGATGTGAGTGCAGGAGATGGGATGGTTGTGACTGTGCTTGTCCGGGAAGATGTGACTGTTGTTGTTGTTGCTGGTGATGCACATGTTGTTGGGACTGCTGATGCGACAGATGCGTGGCGACACCAGGTGGTGTACGCATGGGACGCAAGAGAGATGGTGCCGGCGTTGTAGATGGTGAGGCCAGGTCTAAATGAGCGGCGGTCTCGAGTAATGAAGGTGTTAAACGTGATGTACAACGCGCACTTGACTGCGTTGTGCTGCAGGGAGCTGTGCCAGCAGCCGATGTGGTTTGAGGCGGTGTTATTATTGTACAATCACGATCACGATCACGTTCTCGCTCGCGTTCTCGTTCCCGATCGCGTTCAGCACGTTCGGCAGCAATGAGACCACTTAAGGGACTTGGTGGCGGATTGAAGATCATGTCAGCAGATGGCCAACGTCGTTTACGTACGTGACGTGATTGTTGTTGCTGTAGTTGCTGTTGCGAGGCTTGCTGCTGCTGTTGTTGTGGCAACAGTAGAGGAGATAGCCGTAACTCCAGATTGCTGCTGCCACCGAGAATATCTCCACTGGTGCTATTGCTACTTGTTGCCGTACTGAAATCCCAGTCAGCGCGACCTAAGCGCAATTTCTTCTCAGCGTCCAGAAAAGCTAAGGGCTCCTCCGATTCGGCAAGCGGATCATGATAATCCTTACGTTCACGCTTCGAAGCTGGAGATCCGCCGTCTCCACCTCTCTTTGGTGAACACGACTTGGAGGGAGAATGCAGCTCTTTCAGTAAACGCTCAGCGGCCGCTTCCTCTGCGGACACACTACCGGCGCTAACATCCGCCAGTCCACGTACCTTCAACATTTCTGCAATACGCAAAAGCGGTCCAATCTGATCTTGGCTAACATTGATCTCGCCACGATACATGAATTCCACGATCGCCTTCAAATCAGACCAGTTGACATCGCGCATGATTACAATGGGATGCTGGCAAGGTGTATCCGAAAACAACATCTGAAAGTAGGGTGAGCACGCGGAGAGTATCATTTTATGCGCCTTAATCGAACGTCCATCGCAGGCCAAAGTCACATCGACAAACGATTCGCTTTGCAAAAGCTGATCGAAGACGCTCGTCAGGTTGCTTTGGTAATTGTTCCAACGCAGACAAAATTGTTGCGGCACCGTGGGCGTCGAGCCAGTTGACGAATGCGGCGAGATGGCTTGTGCCGCACCAATAGCGCTTGTACCACTGGGTGATGTGACACGTGCCCCAATGTTATCACCACCAGGTGTTGGCGTGTGTGCAGTTGTTGAGCATGCGGGTGGTATTGGTGACTCCTCACGCAACAGCGGACTACAGCGCCCTGCTTTGGACTCGTGTTCGCGCGCGGCTAAACACTCATCACCTTGTTCTACACCGGTTGTGGTTGTAGTCGAATGTGTGGGCGCTGGCGGTGGCGGCGGTGTAAGCGGACTGCCAAGAAAACTTGGCAATACGGAAGCGGGTCGTGGTGGTGGTGGTTGTGGAGACGGGGGTGATGAAACCGATGAGGTCGATGAGGTGCGTGCTGCGAGATTGGCACGCTGTCGTGATAACATTGGACTTGAGAGTAGCGAACGAAATGGCGATGAAGATGTTGTATTATCGGCGGCGCTCAGCGGTCGTAGGCCGCCTCCTTGCGGTGGCGGTGAGTTGGAAGTCATTTTAGCTACAGTCGGTCGGTGGTTAATCTATGATCACTGTGTGTTTATTTTGGTTTCGGTAGCGCCGGTTTGACTTGTTGTTGGCTGACTGATATTTTCATTCTTTCTTCAGCGTTTAATTTGTCAGAATGTACTCATATTTACAATAAAGTTTTACACAACCGTCGGCAAATCATTAGAATTGAGTTTTTGGGTTTATTTACTGCTTGTATACACATTTGCCTTATATAGTTCATATTTGTTTTTAAACTTTCATCTGATAGGGAAATGATTACATAAAATTTCGAATCTAAATTATTTATAATTTTGTATAGTTTTTATAAGTTACAATTAAATTTATTAATTTAGGTAATTCTATAGTTTGATAGTATTTTGGGAATATGCGCAACTTCTATTATGTTTATCTGTTGTGGAATATGTTGTTGACTTCAATAGATGATGTTAAGATTAGGTTAGACGGCTGACCCAAAAGTAGTGGCATCAGACTTAGACTGCTATATACAGTCCTTTTTGAAAACAAAAATCACCTTGAAACTACCACAAATCTGTTTAGGTCTTTTTTTTTCTATTTCCGAAATTTCTCTTGAATGTGTAAAAGTATGAGATCCGAAGTATTGGCCTCAAGAAGCCAACGGAGTTCTTAATTGTTCCCTTGCAGTTTCCTACAGTTCCGCTATCAAAGATAGAGGCTCTAGTTATCCCTTGACTAGTCTTGAGCGTACGGTCAGAACTCGAGGCTATTTTCGCTAACAGAGTGTGTAGTAGTTTTTGAAACGAAGACTTTAAAGAAGATCCATATGCACAAAAAAGGTTCCAAAAACGCAACTAACTATATAACAATAAGAAGCCTTAAATAACTGACAGCACGTATATTATTCCTTTTTCCGTTATTGCAGGTAAACATTACATAACTTTAATCATGATTCCAAGTTTTAGATGAAATTGCTACTCTCAACTGTGATATGCGTCTTAATATGCTACGACAAGCTAAACATCTTGTATGTTATTGAACACTTTCTCTACTGAACAATTTCGGAAATTCTAGGAGCTGTGGGAGTGTAAGTATAAGTTTGCAGATTATATAGTTCTTAGCAATATTACAAAATCTTACGTCGAAACTATTTAATATAAAAATTGAAAAAATTTTTTACATTAATGTATTTTATACGAGTACAGCACCCTCGAGCTATTGATTATTCTCATATACTTGTAAGTATATATCAAATAAAGCACTTGGGTTTTTTTTTTTAATTTTAGTATATTTCGAATTTAAGTCTACATATAAAGGTGCAAGTGTATCACATATCCAAAACCAGTTAACGTGCACAAGAAAAACAAAAATAACATTTTTTAACGAGTTGATTTCACAAGCCGACGGCTTTACTAGCCCACTTTGTGTCGTAATATTGACAACAGACACATTGAAATGTTGAAACTAATAAATGACTGTATTCTCACCCTAAATGAAATAGTATACTACAATATAATACTGCATTCAAAAATCTAGTCACACCGATTGCCGATCGATAAGTTAGCTATTATGGCCATATCAATTATTTGTCAGTAGTTTGTGTTTGAGATCAGAAAAATTTCCCTAGCTCAAGAATTGATCTATCTATTACAATATTGGTAGATTAAAAATGGTTTCTATCTCTTGATCTTAAGTTGCGTATAGAGATTATTCTAAACGAATTATTTGCTTGAGCACACAGTTTAGGTAGAGCTGCAAAAGACATGTTTTTGAAATGAAACACTTGATCGATTCGCATATAATCTGAAATTAATGCCTTTTATATAAAATTTTCTTATTTCGAGAAGCTTTTTTTATAAGAAAGTAGTTCATGTAGGTATTTAAGGTTAGTAATAGCTTCGCTGAGTAACATGTTAGTGTTTCCTGAAATTTTGGCCGTTTTGAATTTGCAAAATCCTTACTATTAAAATATTCTCCCAAGTTACAACATTTGAAATGAAAATGCTTACTTTTGACCAACTATGGAGTGCTCGGAATAAGCCGAGTGTGCGAGTGTTCTTTTGCCGCTCTCTTACAAGTACTATTTTATCAAATAGTACATCTTAATTTGGGATCTTTAAACTAATTATTTCAAAATCGGCAGATTGAAAATAATTACATTACCTACATATATCGAGCACCTTATTAACCTCATGAGAAAAAAACACTAATTGTCTTTTTTACTAGATATTATAGATCGATTTCGACCATGGTTAGAGGCAGAGCCACTATTTATTTTCAATCTATCTAAAAAGAGTAATACCATACCATAGTAAATACAAAAATATTCAAGCAGATTTTAACAGAATGAAGATATTTGAATATATATGTCTTCTATAGATCAAACTCTTTATCATTTTAGTTACACCCTCAAAAACCGGGTTTTTTGAAACGTTCAATTGTTGTTTGTTGGAAGAACCGAAAAATGTATGTAGGTTTATGGATGAAAAAACATACAAACATAAAAAAATCTTAAAGCAATAAATATATATCATTGGAAACCAAATAAATTTCAGAGCCTACTATTTATAAAAGAATTTATTTTAAAATTAAATAAATTTAAAATTGAAATTTAGTTTGTTAAGTGTGGTTACACTTTTAATTTAAGTTGGGAAACGTAATTTGCGATTGGAAAAATGCTTCTTCGAACCTTTTTTTCGACCCTGGCTGTGGTGAGCGCTCCATCATAAGACCAAGTGGGTAAGCTATACTTCATATTTTCAATCTTATATAATTATTTACCAACAAATACATTTAATTTTATAATGCAATTAATTTACAGATGTAATGAAATCTATACTTCCTCTTCATTAAAAAAAATTAAACTTTTAAATGATCAAAAAACAAAAACAATCAATGAACTTCGAAATTGTTGCATCTAAATCGATGTATTGATTTTTTATAATTATTTTTTATTAATTTATTTTCTAATTATTGTTTTTTTTTTTGCAGAAGTTTCCTTTCACTCCATTATTATTCATTACTTTTTCCAAACTGTGACAGACTTCACCTGAGCAAACAGCAGCACGCACACATGTAAGTTCGTTCCTATATAACAATTTATGATTGTATGTGTGCATATATATACCAATAAGTATGCGTATACATGTGTTTGAACGGAAGTACGCTTTCGAAAGTTTTGCGTGTGCGTGTATGTGTGAGCGCATTCCGTTTTTACTTCTAATATTGCGTATTTTTACTCATCGCATACACACATACATGTACACCATTACTTATTATAATACACTTGTATGCTAATGCATAACATATTAGTGCGCTGTCATTGTAAGCCTTTGCCTGTAAGTGTGTGTGCGCGCTTGTGCTGGTGCCACACATGCATAATGCGAAAAAGTACCGGAAAACGCGCGATTACGCCATAGACGCAGATACACACACACACACACAGAGCAAGAAGTCAATACGCATACACGCTCACTTTGATTTCACGTTTTTTGTTTTGTTCCATTTCTTTTCGACAAACAAACGCCGGCACACAGTCAATGCGTTCAATTTTTATTATTGTTGTATTGTCACTAATACACAACAAATAGTATTTGTGTTACTTTTTCGTATTTTTCGTAGCGCGCGCGTTATAAAATTTGTTACTCGCGTGTGGCGCTCAACTCAACTGCACGTCAACGCAACGCAACGTAAACACAACACAGCACAGCGCGGCACAGCGCCACTCAACTCAACTCAGTTCGTTGGCAATGCGAAACTCGACGCGACGCGACTCACTGCGATTGTGCCTTTGGCCGGCATCGCTAGCTGGTTAGCTTGCTGGCTGACTTACTGGCTGGCTGCTTGGCTTCTTGACTAGTTCGCTGACAGGCCGGCTGGTGGGCGCGTGGCGGCGCAGACACTGACAGCCAGCGTGGCGAGCAGTGCCAGCGGCAAAGTCGGCAAATGGGTGCAAAACAAGTACAGGGTTCTAAGCTGTTTGTTATTATTGTTATTGGCGTACGCTCCTTTTTAACGATTGTAATATGCTTGTTGTTTTTTTTGTTGTTGCTATTATTACTTTTTGCTTTGTTTGATTGGCGGCTGATGACGTAGCTCAGTGCGGCGTTTGGCCACCGCAACCGTGCGTTGGCGAGCGGCAAGCGTGGCGGCAGCGACGACGCGCGAATTTTCCGCACACGACGATTTTTCACTTTTACCGTAAGCCGGTATGCATGTGCGTGTGCGAGCGCGTCTATGCGCCTATGTGTGAGTGTGTGTTCGTGTGCGGAAGTGTATGTGTGCGTTTGTGTGCTTTCGGTATCGTGTCAGCCGTCTAACGTGAGTGTTGTGTGTCGTGTGCGCTTCGGTGTATGGGTATTTAATGGCTGTATGTTGAAGTGACGTTCAACAACAAAGTCTTCTCAGCACGACCGTCTGAATTAGACTGAAATCGTTTCGCACATTTTGTTACGGAAAAACTAAACTGAACTCAACTGAACCAAACTGAATGCCACTGAAATCGCAACAACTTTGACTGGGGGAAAATTTTCGCTGTCTGTTGCTGTTGTCTGCGCGCCACGGCCGCACTATAAGCACAAGCACAAGCACCGGCACTACAAGCACGTAAGTAAGTAAGTAAGCAAGCAAGTAAGTCGGCACATTTACATATGTATGTACATAACTGCAAATATTGTACCTCCGACTTGCCTTAAACCGTTTCGTAGTTCCTGCTACTACAGCTACTGTTGCTGTTGCCGCTGCCGTTGCCACTCTTATCGCCATTTGTTCTTAACGGCGCTTTGTTGTTCTTGTTGCCGTTTCAGTTTCGGCTGACGCTGCTCTTGTTATTACTGCTGTTTTTGTTGTTGTTGTGGGGAGACGTTAAAAAGCCCAAATCGAATCGAGGCGAGACGACAAGGCGCGCAGCACCGCCGGCAGCATGGCAGTGGCAGCATTGTGGCACTCAGCCACCGTTGCACTAAAGCTCCAAAGTAGTTGGCCGCCGTCGCCTGCTTCTGCAGCTGCCACATTTCACTTACGTCTATTTGCGCTTGCTTGTGAGTGGCCGCGTATGCGCGCACTCCTCCAACGGCCGGCACTCTTGCCGGCAGCCAGCCAGGAAAGCCTCTGCACCACCTGAGCACCCCTGTATGTGTGTGTGTGTGTGTGTATTTGCACTATCCCCACTGAGTAACAAATGCTGCCGGTCGTCGTAGTCGACGTCGTCGTGGTATCGTTGTAGTAGTTTTCGAATAACTACACACTCGTAAGTTTTGCGACCGACGACGTTGTTGCAATGTGCTCTATCCGTGTTTAGCCGAGTCGTTGGTCGTTGTTTTCGTGTTGCACTAGCATCGGCAATGCGTTGCCGGCATCGTTTGTAGTTGTTCTCGCCCGTATGAGTTGTCGGCGACTCTATCGCCATCATCGTCGTCGTCGTCGTAGTTGTCGTCGTCGTCGATGTTCTCCGCATTGGCGTCGTCGAAGTCATTGAAGTCGTCATCGTTATCGTCGTTGCTGTCATTGTCTTTGTAGCAATCATTCTAGTTGGCATTGCTATTGCTCTTACTTTTGCTTTGATTTTGCTATTGTTTTTGCATTTTGGTGGGCATTAGCGTAAACGGCGAAGTTTTGCGCGTTCACCGACGGCTTTCGCATATGCCTCTTTGTAACAACAATAACAACGGCAACATGTAAATGCAACTAATAGCGCTGTGTGGCGAGTAAGCAGCGGGCTTATTGGTCACTGCTACTGCAACTTGCTTCGCTGAGAACTCAAAAACTATTTTTGTAGGGTTTTAGAAGTCATATTTTGGCAGCGAAAACCCTTTCGAAGAAAAAGTCGTCGAAAGTTGGTAGGAAAGTTAGTCTGAAGTATTGGAAACAGAGGTTGGTTGTTAGTTTGGCGCTTTCGTTTTTGAGACCGAACTAAGAAAGCCTTAAGTTATCAGTTCAATAATAAGTATATTTATTATTTAATAAAGATCACAAAAAAATGGCTGCAGAAAGTATTGCGTATGTTAAATCCCCGGTTAACTCTCTTTAAAGTATCTCTTTATATCAAGAGAAAAAGTTTCTATGAAAAATTTTGACTTCCGCATCGATTTAGTTAAAGGTGTCGAACCAGAAATTTTAAAAAACTTATATAACGAGTTTAATGAGGCACATAAGCAGTTCTTGATAAAGCAAAGGGTCTTAATCCAAAAAGTGTTTCCAGCGAATGATTCTTTACAGTTCACACTTATTAAAGCTTCTTGCAGAAAATTTAGCAACTATGGGAATCATCTTTAAGACGCCTACGAAACTCAAGTAGTAACTCGTGAAGTAGGTTAACCTACTATTCACAATGTTTCTGCCCTTACCGTTCTCAGCGGTGTTCTTCGAAACGAACCTTTGCGGTTGAGTAAGAATTTTAAATTAGCCGAGTACGCTGAAACGAACACTCCATATGTTATGATTGTCGGAACCTCTCAATATCATATAATGTGCGCTCTGCATCTGCGATTTTATCTCTATGACCCCTTAGGTCTTTCAACTGAACAAACTTTTGCACAATACCAGATAACAGAGTTTTGTTTGCCAAAAAATTTTGCCACATTCAACGACTCAAAATATGACTCGATAACCTCCCTTTTTTCTGCTATACCAAAGTCAAGACAGACAGAGTCGGCAACTGAAATATTTTAGCAGCAAAAGTTTTTGCCCAAATTTTAAGATAGGCGCAGCGAGGACATCACACACATACCGCGTAAGTGCAACGACAACTTTTTTCAACAATCTGAGGAAAGAAGCCAGGAAAGAAGCCAAGCACGCACATGCATAAGGCACAGCGGCAGCGCCGTGCTATAGCTTTTAGGCCTCTCTAGTCTGCTGGCATTAAAAACGCACTGTTTTGTAGTTGCAATAGCCACATCAGGGTGCAACTAACTTAAATAACAACAACAACGCCAGCAATAAAGGCAGCTAACATTTATGCGACGGGAAGGGTTGCACTGCCACCCGCCACTGGCATTAAGATACAATCGCGACGTCGTCGCTAGTCGTCGCTAGTCATACAAGGTGCCGCGCCGCTGTTGTTGTCTCCTTGTTGCAACAACATGCCTAAACTATTGTACATGAACGATACGCATATTAGCAGCGTAGGCCTAAAACGCGTATACACCGCGTGACGTATTCTAGGCGCGCGTTCTTGATTGGTGGCGCGGCAAGAGCCTGCTCGTAGAACGCGCCCGCGCGCTGCATCCATTTAGCATTTGCGGCAATAACAGCAATAAAATTAGTTTGTAGTTTCCGCACTCAACTACATGCAAAGAGTGCAAGCAAAACGCAATTCAAACGAAAAGTTTTGTCTAAAATGTGCGCCTACGACGAACGTCGTTGCAATCGCTTTGTTCTCAAACTCACGGTGGTTCAGTGATTTCAGTTGTAATGGTGGCAGCAACGGCGACGCACACGCATACAAACGCAGGCAAATATGCGCGCATTTCCTGTGCGCGCGAACGAGCCTTTTTCTCGTCTAAAGGAATTTTCACATAAGCACACGCACACACACACACACGCGCGCGCCTAAACACCTGTGTATGCGTGCGTCCTGCTGCAGCGCAACAGTCAATGTTTATATGTGTGCGGCGTGCACGCGTTTAGGCGCCCTCTCACGTTAAGTCACCATCCGCCCAGTAGCGTGTGCATTCTACGCGCATTGACACGATGTGATTGCAACCCTGCTGTGGTTGTGCCTCCTTCAATGATGCTACTAACTAATCGTCACTCAACAACGCCATCTCTAAATGCAGCAAATAACAACAAAATTACGTATGCGTTAGCTCACAACCAGCGCCGTCCTCGCGTTGACTCGAAATCACCGCAACTTCTGTGTTGTTGCTTTGCTTTTCGATTGTCGAAAATTTTCCAACTTTTTAGTGCGCTCTCCTCTTTTTTGATGCAGCGTCTGTGTTCTTGTATGCCTCGGACACGGTGGACTCCTCACGTACGTGCCTAACTTGTGCCCACAAACAATAACATACATAACGAAGGTGCCTCACTAACCGGCATTTGTTTTTATGTCCAGCCAATTTTCGTTGCTTCTCGGTTAATGTTCTCATTGTTTCGCCGTTGCGTTGCATTTATGGCATGGTGCAGTTTGGCGCTCTTATTTTTCTTAAACCTCATAGCCCCAGCGTTACGGTTCTGTTGCATTTTGGTTTATAACTGCAGATTTCTACATATGTTGTTTGTGTGTCTCTTTTAGATTTCATTTCCGACTCCTAGAATTATATTTTTTTATAAGCGCTTGTTGCGTATCCGCTGAGAAAGCGGTGAGGTAACTTTGTGTATCAGTTATGCGAGTCTTAGAGTTAGAACCGCATATTTCTTGTTCTACGAAAAGAATTCAGATTTATTTTTAGAAAACTCGTTTTCGAAAAAATTGATATAAGGTTATAATCTACTAAATTCTTATGAATATAAAATCATTAATAATTGACAACACTGTTTATAGAGTGAATTGAATTTATGAAATGAAAAGTAGAATTTCTCTCTCAATTGCTGCTAAAGATGATCAATATCTCACTGCATAAGCTATATCAGACTTGTTATCATATATCTGGCTCTCTATATACATATTGTATATTTATCTAAGATTTGTCTAACTATTTGGACCATTCAACAATATATTGGTTTACAAAAAGATCAGTCTAAACTGTAATCTATCTAGATTTCTTAGATAATATAATATTTAGATCTATTTCTACATCCCAAATATTTTTTGAAATCACAGAAATATATACTGTTATTTATTTAAAACGCTAATCGACATCTAGAAGAAAAGGTTTTTGCAAATCCGAAAAAGATGAGGCTTTTATAATTTTGTGATCGGAGTGATATAGCACAATCTTTTTGAATTTAAACTGTCACGTCATATACTAAACAGTCTTTCGAAATAGGGACTTTGATGAGATTAAAATTAGAATTAGGCCCAGAATAATAAATCCTATATTAAGTTGCTTACATCATCTATTGATCTGATATCAACTGCAAACAAAAATATAAATTTCCAAAAAGTTATTAGAAAATATTTTTGTTTCGGTAATGATTGTTTAGACTGCTTAAAAAATATTTTAGGGCCCTACAGTTATTAGAATTTATCAATATATACAACACATCTAGAAAAATTAACAAAAGTCCTGTAAAATGCCTCGCTCAGGTAACAATCAATTATATATAGAACCCAGGTAAACCGATTTCTCCTAATATCGAGTACTCGTATAAGGTCAGTTTTCACAATCGCTAGCCTCGTGCTCCCTTCTACATAAATTTCTTCTAGCATTTACCAAAATTTACTCGCAACTCTCTTATTACCCACCCTCATATCATATACCTTCTGCTTCTTTAGCTCACGAACTCCCTAATGCACAATCAGTGCACTGCTTTGGAGCTAACGCATCAGCTTGTGCCCCTGCGTCGGCAGAACGCGCTTTTACAAATCGTAAGAAAAATGCAATGAGCATTCATTTTTCCAATTGCCTGTGTTCGTATTAACGAAGCCATGCACACATATATATATTAGAGTGTGCGTGCATGTGTGTGTGTGCTCTCTGATGCGACCGTTT